GGAAGCCTAGCCCGTTGGTGGAGAAGCTATTCCAGGACGTTATCGGCGCCTACGCTGCCGTGCTTGACTTCTCATTCGCCATCAAGCGCCACTTGACCGCAGGCTCCCTTACACGGATCAAGCATTCCTTCAAGGATTTCTTCGGACTGTCGAAGGCGAACTTTGAAGACAAGCTGAACACCGTCGCCGCCCAGAAGAGGAAAATCCTTGAGGAAAGCCAGGGCGCCTTCCAGGACAAGACACTTACGCAGCTTGACAACGTATCGGTCGTCCTGGCCGGCATCGAAGGTACCGTGCGGCACATCCAAGACTTCCAGGACACCCAGAGGAAGCTGCATGAAGATGCCATGGCGAGATTCGACGTCTTGCTGAAGGGATTAGACGACATTCGGGCCTCGACCAAGCGCAAGACCCAGTGGGATTATGCCGTGCAGGATTTCCAGACTTACCAAGAGGCCCTGGACCCGCTGAAGGGTTCTTTCCGGCTTCTCGGAGACACCATCGACGCGGTGTACCCCGGCACCTGCGAGTGGGTGTTTGAATATAGGCTCTACGAGCAGTGGCTGGGCGCGTCAGACAATGCCATGCTCTGCGTCACTGGGCCAGAAGGTGAGTTCCCCCACTCCTTGTCTTCTCGTCTACCCATGACCAACGTTAACTTGTAACCCCCCGTAGGATCTGGCAAGTCGTATGTCGTGGCATCCATCGCAAACCGCATCGCCCGCACTCCAGATCCCGACGAGGCACTCCTGTACGTCGCATGCAGCGGCTCAACGACCAGTGCCGGCCTCGGCAGCAACCAGTCGTACACGGCAGACAGGATCTGCCGGACCTTGCTATCTCAGCTTTACGACTTGGCCGTTCAGGGCGAAGACAATGTGGGCCTGCTGGAGACGTGCAACGGCATCTTCAAAAAGGCAAAGGCCAAAGTCAGTGGCCTACCGGCTCACATGCGATCCGAGAGCGACGGCTTACCGGAGTTTGCCGATGGCTTCACCCGGATCGCCGCCCTCCTCAAGAAGAAGCTGGTTCTTGTTCTAGACGGCCTTGACGGAAACACACTGGAGGACAAAGACCAGGATGACCTTCTAAGGAAAGTACGCAGTCTCATGACATCCATGTCCGAAAAGGCAGGCCTCGGCATGCGCCTCCTCGTCGGGTGTGCTTCGTCGTCCAAATTCTTCAACGACCTGGCCCCCAATGCGTACATTGACGTCCAGCAAAACAACGGGAGTGACATCGAGTTGGTTCTCAAAAATGCGCTCAAGGACGTACCGGGCTTGTCGGCAGCCGAACAAGAGACCGCGAAGGTTGCCATCCTGGAGAAGGCCCGCTCCAGGTTCCTCTACGTGCGGGACACCGCCATCCCGTTCATGCTCGAGCCGTTCCAGAGACCTCTATCTAAGCGGCTTGAGGCTCTGCCAGACGGGGTCAGTGACGTGTACAAGAAGGCACTCAGCAAAATGAGCCCAAATTACCTGGACCTCCTCCGCACTGCCCTCACCTGGACCCTTCTCGCTCCCGAGTTCCCCGGATACCCTCACGCCAGGGAGATCATGGATGCTTTCCAGGGAACCTATGACTTCCCCGCCGAGGTGGAAAGCCAAGATGATGCAGAGGCCGAGTTCCCCCAAGCTTCCCGGCTAGAGCTCGAGCAGCTCCGAACGGCAACGGACCCATTCTTGACGTTGATCCCGGAAACTGACGGCAGGGTTTGGGTGTTTGAGTCCGACACGGCTGCCGTTTGCGACTATTTTTTGAAGAATAGCGAGGATGTCCAACCCGAGGAAGAACACGAGCACCGTTGTGCTCGGTGCGGATCGGCCGAGTCACCGGCTACGCAGCTCTACATCGATCCCAAGCAAGGGAATCTCCAGATGGCGCTGACTTGCCTGCGGCATTTGAACAACCCACTGTTTCAGCAACGAGCGGGTTTGAGAGCTCCCGTTGGACAATCGGAGAAGCCTAATGGCGATACCAGAGACTCGAGCGCCACAGACCTCACAGAAGCGGGCGGGGAGCCCACGGATGGGCAGCCGGAAGATGAGGCGGAAAGCGGCGAAGAGAATGCAACGACCGTGCATGAGTACCTCCAAGAGGCGCAGGATGGCTACGCCACCGAAGAGTCCATTGATGATGAAGACGTCATCAAGCCTCACTATCTCGACTTGAACCCAGAGGACCAGCAGATGTCTGGCCAGGGAACGGAAGACGAAGGCCCGACACGTGTCCGGTACGAAATCCAGTACTGGCCCTGGCATTTGGCCAAGGCGGAAGCCTTCTGGCCTGCCGAGGAACGAGAGAACAACGCTGACTGGGCGGCGCTTATGAGCGAGCTCGACAAGTTTGTGTTCGAGACCCCCGAAGTGTTTGCTGCTTGGCAGAGCAAGTATCCCGAGAAGGAGGACGAGTATGAACTCTTCCGCGTGGCCGGCGGGCCGCACAAGGCGTTGCATGTTGCCGCGTATCTGGGCCTGACCACCTGGACGAGACACCTCCTTGATCGCGGAGAGAAGTTGGATGAGCTGTCGGCAGGGTACAGCCCTCTGCAAGCAGCCGCGTGTTCCGAGACATCCCTCGAAACGGTGAAGATGTTGCTAGACCAAGGCGCCGACGTCAACGCTGAGAATGGGGTGGAGCGCAGTGCGTTCCATCTTTGGCTGATTCGTGGCGACATCACGGTCGAGGGTGTTCAGATGTTTTTGGACCATGGGGCTGATGTAAAGGTTCCCTGCACGAGAGTTAGCTACAGCGCGTTGCAATATTTCGCCAACAGGGGGGAGGATCCCGCCGTGCTCGACCTCTTGTTGACGCAGGGGGCGGACATTAACGCAGTCCATCCCGGGGACGACTGGTTGATGCCGCCTCTTCATGTCCTGCTGATGAGGCGCGAGGTGCCTGAGCCGCTGCTGGACGCCTTTGTCAAGCACAACGCCGACACGAACTCGGAGAACGCGGTTTCCGCCCGGCCGTTGCAGATGATCTGTACCAACGGCCAGCTTGAGAATCTCAAGATCTTGCTGCAGTCGGACAAGCTAGAGATCGACGACACCGACTTCCACGGGACCACCGCCGTCCACGAAGCCGCCTTCTACGGATACAGCAAGTGCGTGGACGCGCTGCTCGAGCGAGGGGCCGACCCTGACATTACGGACAAGCTCAACCGCGTCGCCCTGCATACCGCGGCAAGGAAAGGCCTTACCGAGACCGTCCGCGTCCTCCTCAAGTACACCAAACAAGTCAACATCAAAGACAGGCAGGGCTGGACGCCGCTCTTCTGCGCCTGCCTCAGCAAAGACCAAGAATCTGCCCTGCTGATCCTCGACGCCCTCTTGGCCCTGAACACCCCCCTCTCCGACATCAACATCACCACCCGGTCAGGCCGCACCGTGCTGCGCCAAGCCGCCGACCACGGCTTCATGATGGTGGTCACAAGGCTGCTCAAACTCGGCGCGACAACGACTGCCGACACACCCACCCCCAACCCCGCGCTCCTCCTCGACGCGCGCGACACCAAAAAGGGCATGACAGCCCTCCACCGCGCCGCCTCCAACGGCCACGCGACCAGCGTACGCTTGCTCCTCGCCGCGGGCGCCAACCCCTCCCCGCTCGACGCCCAATCCCGCACCCCCCTGGCCCTCGCCCACGAACAGTGGGCCATCTTGACCAAAACCACCGCCTACGAAGACATCCTCACCCAGCTCATCGACGCGGCCCCGGCCGCCGCGGCCGCCGACGCCGACCTAGTCGCAGTCTGCGCCGCCAACGGCAGCGTGCCCTTACTCACCCGCCTCTGGCGGCTGCACGCCGACCTCAACCGCCCGGACCGGTACGGGTGGACACCGCTGGCGCTGGCGCGGCAGTTCGGGCGGGCCGAGGCGGAGGCGTTCCTGACGCGGCAGGCGGCGTGGGCGAGCCTGTTGCCGGGGAGGTGGGAGGTGCGGTTTCCCGGGACGACGCCGCTGGGCGCGGGGAGCGTGCTGGACGGGGGGAAGAGGGTGAGGCATACGAGTGGGAAGCGGGTTTGCGTGTCGGCGGATCGGCCGCTGCCGGCGGGGTTGGAGAGGTATTATTTTGAGGTTGTGCTGGGGGAGGTGGAGGGAGGGAAGGGCGGGAAGGAGTGGCCTGAGATGGCGGTTGGGTTTTGCACGCTTGGGGGTGCGGCGCTGGAGTTTCCTGGTTGGTGGGCTGCGAGCGACAGTCCGTCGACGGCGAGGTCGTGGGGGTATCATTCGGATACTGGGGGGTGTACTCGTCGGTGGAAGATAGGGAGGGTTTTGTGGATGTCGACATTGACGAGCTGAAGTACCGGGTTGGGGATACGGTTGGGGCCGGGGTGGATCTGGCGAAAGGTGAGATCTGGTTTACTCGGAATGGTGTCAGGTTGGAGAGTGTATTGAAAGGAGTTGAGGGGCGGTTGTTCCCTGTTGTGGGATTGCATGACGAGGTGTCCTTTGAGACGAACTTTGGCAGGGAGGGAGACGGGGAATTTAAGTGGAAAGCAGAAGTTGAAACTGTCAAGGTGGGGGTGCAGGGGGGAAATGAGGAAAAGAAGGATGGTGCGGTGATGGAGGTTGTTTTGCTTGGTGGCAAGCCGGAAGGGAATGAGAAGCAGACCGCCGTCCAAGTGACGAGCGAGGTGGTTGTTGTCAGCTAGGTAGCCTGGGTATCATGGATATTGAGTGACGATAATCCACTGTGGTCGGTGATCCTGATGGAAATCAATCACGGCCCATCGTGGGGGCTTTTGTGTACCCTAACCCTAACTCCCATCCTGTCCCGGCCAAGCGCGGCAATGACTGCTAACCAAATCAGTCCTTCTCAGCGATGGCAGATAATGCTTGTTTTTACCACAAACATTGGCCAAGAATAAAAAGAATGCCCCAAGATATCAGGTTCAATTCCGTATCCGTTCCAGAGTCCATCCATCTCTCTCTGGAGCCCCGCAAAAAGGCAGTCGGTCGTCAAAAAGTTGATTTGGGTCATCTGACCCATCTTCTCGATCCACCCAGGGGTCGAACCTGGAACCTCCTGATTTACTTAGTCGTAGTCAGACGCTCTGCCATTGAGCCAGCGGACCATGTCTGCCATCTCTTTGATGTTGCATTGGGGTTCGCAAGAGTAGTTCAAATGGAGAGGGCGGAAATGAGTCGCAGCATCTGGAATCTGGGCGGAAAAGTCCACCTTTGCAGTTGTGCGCCCGTTTGTGCAGGGGCGGGCGAGTTGTTCCTTCCTTTGCGGTTGCCTCCTGCCTCCACTCAAAGATCTCTCGTTCCTTCCCGACGCTCCTCGACCGTGACCCCAACGCGAGAACTGCCCGAGTTTGCCAACGTGAATGCACCGCGTCACCGGCCACCTCTGCGTTTCAATGCAATTTTCCAATTCGCACCCCACACACGACACTGTCTCCTGCAGTCTCCACAGAGGAATCCATCACGTCGGTGCGATGCCATTCAGGATTCTACCTCTCCCGTTAACCTTTTGTCACATTACATAGTGGTCTTCGTCGTTTGAACAAAACGACCGCGCATACTATTTGCATTCGTGCCTTCAATCATACAACCACCGCGATAACACATCCACAACTGAAAACTCATGCTCATTTTTAACCCGTATCTGCTTCGTCAGAAGCAATCAAGGAAGCGACATGAACAACTCCAACAACCCCTCATAGCTCGGCGATCCCAGACCAGTCGCGGCATCCCACCCCTTGACGGCACGGAACCCATGGCGAGCTTCGCACCCGGTATTCTCCCCATGCGCCACGTCGTCAAACACGTCAGGATGCTTATACAGCACCGGGTTGATAAAGCCCACCGGCCCCTTCCCGGCAAGCAGCCTCTCATTGTTGATCATAGAAATCATGGACGCAATGATGGGCGTTGACGCCGACGTCCCATGCGCCCGCCTAAACTCCCCGTTCAGCGCGACCAGGTAGTCGGTAGCAAGCGCCGAGATGTCCGGCACGCCCCGCCCACGGGGGTCAAACAGATCGGTGATGTTCCGGCAGTGCAGCTGACGCCGTTCCATCGCGAGGTACGCTTTTGTGGAGCCGGTCTGGTAGCGCGGCGCGGAAAAGACGCTGCTGAAACCACCCGTCGAACTCGTGTTGGGCTTCACATAGACGGTTTCGCGCTGCGGCGTGGTGGAGTTGGTCGAGTTGAGGTTCTTCATGGTGCCGCCCACCGCCGTGACCCAGGGACAGGATGCGGGGAAGGAGACGTGGAACGGCCGTCGTTTTCCGTCCCCGGCAGGATCGTCACATGAGGTGTGTCGCCCCGCCGTGCCCTCGTCGCCCGTGCCTGCGATGATGGTGATGCCCATCAGGCCGAGTTTGAGGTACTCGTCGCACTGCCTCCGGAGGTAGTCCTCGGGAAAACCGGCTTCGGCCCATGCGTACGAGACAGAGATCACCTTGGGCGGGGTGTGCGTGCCGCAGTCAAGGCTCTGGTATCCGTCATCAGGAGCAAGCGGGTTGGGCCACTGAGGATCGATCTCTGGGTCGAGTTGATCACAGTAATAGTCGTCGTATGCCGCGAGCATGTTGTTCAGATTGCCGGCGACGTACTTATCGCCGACTTGAATGTTCATGACGGGCTGCGGCCACGTGAGAGCCATGGCATACTGGAAGTCGAGGTTTGGCTCAATGTGATGGTAGATGCTCTTGAATGTCTCGCTGTCGTGGTGGCCGCCGTTGATCCGTTGCATCACAGGCCGGGCCCTGCTGAGTTGGGGCTCAAACGTGTCGAAGTACAGGTCGAGGTCTTTGGCCAGCCAGGCCACAGTGGCGGGTTGGTAGATGCCGAAGGTGTTGTTGGGGTGGATGGGGTAGCTGGCATTGCGGAAGGGTATCCCATACCACTCTCGAAGGCATTGGGGCGTGTTGAACTGGTTGCAATCCATCTGCCGCTGCCTCTTGGACAGGGCGTGGCGACCAAAGCTGCCGAGGGAGATTGGGGGACCGACATGGTCGTCGACCTTCAGTAGAGAGGGAACAACCGGGTCTTGGACAGGAAACACGGTTGGGATGATGAAGTCGATGGACTCCAAAAGGTTCTCTGGGACCCGGTACTCTCGACATGCCAAGCTGGTCTCACCACTGGTCTTGTGCGTGTAGGTGAAGTACTCGGTAGCAAGCCATTTCTCCAAGGCGCGGACGGTGATGTTGAAATCGACTCTGCAGAGGCAAGCAGAAAGACGTATCTCGGCGCGGGGGACGTTGGCCGTTTCCTCAACCCAGTCGAGGACGGCCTTGATCTCATCCCGAGGGAGAGCAAAGGCCGCAGTCACGTCTGAGGCTGACCAGTAACGCCCAAATGTCGAGCTTGACGGGTCGGACAATGACACGAGGGCGTCGGCAGCCTCGCTGGTTGACCTTTCTGCCAAATCGATTTGGACAGGAACGATCAGGTCCGGGTCGGCCCTTAGCCCTTGGTCCCACTCATTGTGCTCAGGAGGTGCTCGCTTGTGGATGGTCATCAAGGTCCCCGGAGAAGCGGAGGCTGCGAGGAGAGCCTCGCCAAAAAGCAAGACGCATAGAAACAGTGCCCGATGAGGAGACATGGTAAAAACGCCGACGAATCGCGGCGGAGGATACGACTTTCAGACACGAGGGCTACAGGAGAATGGACAACGTGATGCCAGTGTGGCGGCATAATTATATTGTGGCATCAAAGCAACCCGCTTATGAAATCCTGCATTCAACTGAAAGCATCGCCGATGTTAAAATCGGAATAATAACTAACCGCTATACAGCCTCGGCTGACGGCCATCTCGCCTCGTTTGCATTGCTTACGGCTGAAAAGGATTGGCATTAGACGTCGTGCAGGCGGCTTAGGTAGGAATGTGGCGCTGGTGTATAGGACCGTACCATCGAATGTAGAAGTAATCTACATTGCATGTCTTGGAACCTCCTCTCAGCCATTGACAGCCATAGATTTCCCCACACGTTTTTGTTTACGCCTCTTCGGCGTAACTCGGAGGCTGGGCAAGGCCAGGAACCAAGCCCGACAAACACCGGCAGGAAGTAAGGGCAACTTGACACTTTCGGATGTTGTCACCTCCAAGAGGGAGCACAACATGGCCAAGAGTGACACTCTGACTTCTGTAACTCGACCTTTCAGGAACGCCGCCGACTGCAAAGGGTCGGTGACCGAGATGGGAATGGAAGGATAGCTTCGCGATTGAGCCTCTGTCTCCTGAAATCGAGCATAAATAGGACGGGACGCCGTGGTCTCCTCGGCGAAAACTCTCTTCTTCATCACAGCACAGTCAACTCAACTCAGCACTCTCCCAAGCAACTCTACCAAGCCCACAAGACTCAGTCTTCCCAGCCACTACAACCTTCAAAATGAAGTTCTCGCTCGCCATCGTTTCCCTTGCTTCCCTCGCCGCCGCTGCTCCCAGCGCCCCGGCCCCGGTTGAGGTTCGCGTAAGTTCCCCCTCTCCTGCTGGTCGAGAATCGGACAGAGTAGCAGAACGGCGAGCTAACTTGGAATGTACCCAGTCCGGCGAATGGGTAAGAGTCTTGGATTCCGCAATACTCAAACCCCTGAAACTAACCACACTTCACAGCTCGCCTGCCTTAACCCCTGCGTCAGGGGCTGCCCCAAGCTCGGCTGGGCCTACCTGGCCTGCGTCGGCGCTTGCGAGCTCACCTGCGGTGCCATTGCCACCCCCGGCGATGTCATTGACCTCGATGGCCTTCGTGAGCTTGGCGTTGAGGTCGACGACGTCGAGGCCTAAGAAGTTCGACACCAACCGCTTGTGAGATTAGGAGAGATTGGGGAGACTCGGGGATGGTATTAGTTGCTGAGTTGTGCGGCCGTGGCTCTAGTGGAGGACGGATGTTTTGGATTGGGTTGGAAGCCGAAACATTGACTCGGAGGGCAAATTCAACATTGTCCGTGGTCATTGCACGCACCGCGGCTAGCTAGCCTCCTAAAGCATCTTCGTTCCTCAGCACCTGAGCCTCCAGTGACGTGAAAATGAAATGGAACCCGTGCCTAACTCGAACAGAGCCCATCGCCTGGGAAGAGGGGAGTTCTCAGGCTCGCTCACATCCATAGTCACAGTATCAGCAATCCAGCCATGATCGGTTCTTGGAAACGGTTATAAATACGACTGCAACTTTCTCCTTTCTAGGGATTATTTACGGGATGACGGGCCTATCACGAGGGCGGATAGGAAGGATATTATGTAGGATAAGTCGGTGGGGCTAAAGAAAAGCAATCTAGACGGCGGTCGTATGAGTCCTTCTTCTTCTAAGTTGGTAACGAATTGGCGCCTTAACGGCAGGCTGTGAAGAGACCCCCGACCCGTGGTTGACCATAGCGGTTAGCTAGGGTAGTTTTGATACCCTCCTTCATCTTTTTGTCCAAGTGGAGTTGTCGTCGACGGTGGTATTACCTTTGTCTCAAACTAAAGGGTGTTACTAAAAAGCGGTTATCTCAAGCCTCAGTGTAACGCGACGTCCCCCCCCGCCCCACACCCGCTGTGGTGTTTCTAGGTGCCTACCTAGGTACCTGGGTAGTGTTAACTTGAACTTAGTGCCGAATAGACGGCGACATGACTGTATGCCCGGGTGACAAGGCACCCTCCATCGACGCTCGTATCGCATTGCCGTCAACATGGTTATGAAGTGATGACATCACCGCGAGACTGGAGCTTGGAAAAACATCCGATGTCCGCTAGTCTTCGTGATGGACTGATGGTCATTGCCAACGAGCACTTGTTAAGCCAAAGTGGAGCACGCCATCATCGGAACTGTCACTTTGCCCTAGATTACCGATCCTCGATAGACAGGTACTTTTCTGCCGGTACCGAAGACCTGTTACTGAACCGGGATACCTATATCGTCGTAGCAACTAACAAACCAAAGACGTTCCAACTATAGCGGTGCACCCGTAGCGTGGATCCATTTTTTCTCTGGGTTACCTACCTACGTAGGTAGGTAGGTAGGTAGGTAGGTAGGTAGGTAGGTAGGTATCGCAGGAAGCTCTTCCTTATTACCTATTTTTCAACCATCCTAACCGCTGAGTGTGCAGCTGTGCGGACTCCTCAAATGAGGCTGGGCTCGGC